GCACGTTCTTCATCATAATTACATTTCACTTTCTCACACAGTTTCCAAAAAAGTCCTCGCACACATGCACTTACTCTTGCAATTATTCTCACTCATATGATTCTGTCATGTAAACGTGTAATTAATTGATACTCATATGCAATGAAGAGAGTAACATATATAAAACATATGTAAAACAGTTAGTGTACACATATATACAATATATATGTATATGTGCATATGTAATTTCTCTTATTTTCATTCATTTTCATGCAAATTTTTCTACGTTTTCTTGTCAATTTTGTAGGAATTTTAATCGAAAAAAAGAAAAAAAAATGAAAAATGAAAAATAAAAAACTAAAACAAATTAAATATATTATGCACTTGCGTGTGTATATTAAGTGCGAAAATCGAAAATAATTAATAATTTACATTATGTAAGTGTGAAAGCATTGGTTCGTTTAAGCTATTAATTAGTATATAATTTTTGTCTTTCGTTTTATTTGTTTTTTGTTGCCGTTATGTGCGTAGCTTATCTTACAATTAACCATATCAAGTGGGTTCAAGTTTTTATTCTTGTTGTTGCTCTTATTGTTGTTATTATTAATTTTTTTTTTTTTTAGTTATAAATAATTCCCAAAGGAATTTTTCATTTCATGCTTGTGATGTTTATAAGCAAATTTCACAGGAAAATTAAAAAAAAAAAAAAAAAAAAAAAAAAAGAAGAAAAACTAGAAAAGATGAAAAAATTTACATTCGTTCGTGAACGAATTTCGGACACCCATCATCTCAACTCTACTCTTAGTTTATTGCACATTTTATCAACCCATTGCCGTAAATAATATTAGGCCTAAATAATATTATATTATAGATACCTGAGCGATGGAAGGATTAATCCAAATTAAAGTTAAAGTTAGAGCAATTTGAATATCTTTTAGGTAGTACGGGTTAGTAAATATGTAAAAAATTTTTAGTACAAATTCAATCATTTTCATATCGAAGACTTACGCAATAAAATAAGATTCAAATCGCTCTCGCTAGTATGGGCTTCTTTTGTACGCTATGTTGATAAATATAAGATAATGTGATGATTTAAGTGATTATTCATTTTCTATCTTAATTTCTTCCCTACTCGAAAATTCTAACAACAGGCAATTAATGAACGAACGAATAGACACAAGCGAATATTATTAATCCGATTGAGAAAGACTTTTCATGCTAACGTATATATATATAATTTTATATAATATCGGATTTTTTTTTCTTTTTTTTTTTATACGATGGAAAGTAAATTTTTTGTACCGATACTGTCCAAAGTGAGTATAAAAGAATAGTTTTTTCTCTTGCCTTTGCGAGAAGCAATTTGAAAATGGACAAATTTTAGAATTTGTAGATTTTTATACTATCTTTGATTTATTGTAAAAACGAATTTGGCAAATTAGCAAGTAGGAAAAGTATAGTAAAACGCGGTCCATTCTACGCCTCTCTGCGGTTATCCTTATATCGACTATTCAAAATAGGGCGTCATATGGGAAGTATCCGAAAAAGTCAATTTCAAAAGCGCCTATAGCAAATTTCATTCAAATAAATCAATTAGTGCGACCTCTAAGTTGAACAAAAGGAAACAAAGCGAACAGACGGACAGACGGACAAACAAGCTTTCGAATCATGTTTCTGAATCGACTGTCATAATAAAAGATAGATCTATCGTAAGTCTTTCTGGTTAGTGCATGCACGTCCGCACAAATCTGCCCTTTTAGCACAAGTAGTAACATGGCTTCGAAAAAAGATCGGTCAAAGAGCGGACGTGAAAAAAGATCAGAGAGATTTTTTCTGGATTCTCTAAAACCGAAAAAATATAAGTGACAGCAAATGATATTTGGAGACCCATACGAAGTAAGAGAAAGCGGAAAAATGAATTTAGTAACAATCCCCTCCCCTCCCTACTTCCCCATTAAAAACATATATTCTCTCTTTTTTGTAATATTGTGTTCAGACGTGATGGGTATGCGTTCTATCATGTGCCGACAATTATGTATATTTGTAAATAGTATAAACCTGAAGCGCTTTTGCACTACCATTGTTAGCGTATATATATATATATATATATATATATATCAGTAATGAATCAATATATTATGTAGAGAGATGTGTTTGGTTAGTATGCATGCACACACATGTTTATCTAGAGTTGCGTTAATAATTACAATATTTATGTTTAATATTAGCAATAGCATGATATAATTTTACATCTGCATATATTCATATATATATATATATACATACATACATATACATACTTATATGAGAATTTGTGTGCACATGTATTGTATAAGGATTAGTTAGAGGTATTCAATCGATGCATTTTTTGTTTTGCTTTTTTTATTTATTTATTCATTTTTTTTTAATTTTTTTTTTTTATCTAAGTGTATATGAATGTATCATCAATTCAGTTCAATTCGATTCGTTTTCACCGTCAGAATTTTTTCAGGTATTTATATATATATGTATGTATGTTTGTGTATGTAGTATATATTACTCTTAGTCCATAATTACGTTAAAGTAGTAAAATTGTAGCGGTGAATAAGTAGAAAAAATATATTAAAAAAAAAAAA